AGTAAGCTAAATATGTGGGGATTCAAAAAATAATAACAAATAATATATTTGCTTCACAAAAAATCCTAAAACTTAGATGGAACCACAAAAGACCTGAATAGCCAAAGCAATCTTTAGCAAGAAGAACAAAGCTGAAGGCAACAAATTCTTGATTTTAAAATATGCTACAAAGTTACAGTAATACAATCAATGTGATATGTCCTATCCATGAAAGTGGAATATCTCTCCATTTATTTAGTTCTTTAATTTTGTTCAGCAGAGTTTTGTAGTTTTTCTCATATAGATCTTGTATACATTTTATTAGATTTATACCTAAACAGTTCTTTTTTGTATTCTCATGTAAATGGTTTTGTGTTTTTACTTTCAAATTCCACTTATTCATTGCTAGCATATAGGAAAGTGATTGACCTTTGTATATTAATCTTGTATCCAGCAAACTTTTTATAATTGCTTATTAGTTAAAGGGTTTTTTTTTGTTGATTCTTACAGATTTTGTACATAGACAGCCATGTTATCTGTGAACAATGTCAGTTTTATTTCTTCCTTCACAATCTATATACCTTTTGTTTCCATTTCTTGCCTTATTGCATTAGCTATAACATCCAGCATAACGTTGAAAAGCAGTAGTTAGAGGGGACATCCTTATCTTGTACCTGATCTTATTCGGAAAGATTCAAGTATCTCACCATTAAGATGTGAACTATAGGTATTTTATAAATATTCTTTATCAAGTTGAGGAAGTTCCCCTCTATTCTTAGTTTTCTGAGTTTTTTTTATCATGAACAGGTGTTGGATTTTGTCAAATGCTATTGATATGATCATGTAATTTTTCTTCTTTTGTCTGTTGATTTGATGGATTACATTAGTTGATTTTTGAATGTTGAACTAGCCTTGCATACCTGAGATAAATCCCACTTGGTGATGATGTATAATTCTTTTATACATTGTTGGATTCAATTAACTAATATTTTGTTGAGGATTTTTGCATGTATTAAGAGATATTGATCTGTAGGGTTTTTTTCTTTGTCTGATTTTGATATTAGGTTATTTCTGCCCTTACAGAATAGATTAGAAATGATTTCCTCTGCTTCTATCCTCTGAAAGGGATTGTAGAGAATTAGTATAATTTCTTCCTTAAATGTTTGTTTGAACTCACCTGTAAACCTATCTGGTTATGGTGCTTTCTGTTTTGGAAGGTTATTAATTATTGATTCAATTTCTTTAATAGGTATATGTCTACTCAGATTGTCTATTTCTTCTTGCTTGAATTTTGGCAGATTGTGTCTTTCAAGGAATTGGTTCATTACATCTAGACTATGAAAATTGTTGGCATAGAGTTGTTCATAGTATTCCTTTGTTATCCTTTTCATGTCCGTGTGATCTGTAGTGATATCCCTCTTTCGTTTCTGATATTAATAATTTGTTTTCTCTCTTTCTTTTCTTAGCCTGGTTAGAGGATTGTTGATTTTATTGATCTTTTTAAAGAACAAGCTTTTGGTTTCATTGAATTTCTCTTGATTTCCTGTTTTCAATTTCACTGAATTATGCTCTAATTCTTATTATTTCTTTTCTTCTATTTACTTTGCATTTAACTTGCTCCTTTTTCTAGTTTCCTAAGGTGGGAGCTTACATAGTTGATTTTAGATCTTTCTTCCTTCGTAATATATGCATTCAATGATATAAATCTCCCTCTAAGCACCAATTTTGCTTCATCCCACATATTTTGATAAGTTGTGTTTTCATTTTTATTTAGTTCAAAATATTTTAAAATTTCTCTTGAGATTTCTTCTTTGGTTTATATGTTATTTAGAAGCATGTTATTTAATCTCCACATATTTTGGGATTTTCCAGCTATCTTTCCATTATTGATTTTAATTCTATTGTAGTCTCAGGGCAGACATTGCATACTTTGTACTCTTAAGTTTGTCAAGGTGTGTTTTATAGTTCAAAAGGTGGTCTATCTTTCGAACGTTCATGTGAGCTTAAGGATGTGTATTTTGCTGTTTTTGGATGAAGTAGTCCATAGAAGTTGATTATATCCGGTTGATTGATGATGTTGTCCAGTTCAACTACATCCTTACTGATTTTCTGCTTGCTAGATCTGTCCATTTCTGATATAGGAGTGTTCAAGTCTCCTACTGTGATAGTGGATTCATCTATCTCATCGCAGTTATATTAGTTTCTCCTCACATAGTTTGAAGCTCCATTGTTATCATATACACATCAAGAATTATGTTTTTCGAACTGACACATTTTTCATTATATAATGCCTTCCTTTACCCCTGATAACTTTCCTTGCTTTGAAGAAAGATATATCTAATCTTTCTTTCTTTTGTTGTGTTATCATGATATATATTTTTTCTATTCACTTACTTTTAATCTATGTGTGTCTTTATATTTAAAACATGTTTCTTATAGATGACATACAGTTAGGTCTTGTTTTTTATCCACTCTGACAATCTGTGCTTTAATTGATGTATTTAGACTGCTGACATTCAAAGTGATTATTGATAGAGTTGGATTAATATCTACCATATTTGTTATTTTCTATTTGTTGCACTTGTTCTTTATTTCTAGTTTTCTCTTCCACTCTTTTTCTGTCTTTTATTATTTTAATTGAGGATATTATATAATTCTATTTTTTCTCCTCCTTTAGTATATCTGTTATTCTTCTTTTAGAACTTTTTTAGTGGTTTCTCTAGAGTTTGTAATATATATTTACAACTAAACCAACTCCATGATCGAATAACATTACACCACTTCACAGGTAGTATGAGTACCTTATAATAACAAAATAATCCTAATTCCTCTCTCTTATCCCTTGTAACATTGTGGCCATTCATTTCACTTATATATAAACATGCAAGAGCATATATATATTTATGTATACATATATTATATATACATAGGCATACCTAAGAGAATACACTATTATTTTTAATAAACTATTATCTGTTAGGTTAGTTAAGAATAAGAAAAATAAAAATTTCTATTTTGACTTCACTTATTACTTCTTCAAGGGTCTTCCTTTCTCTATGTAATTGTGAATTTCTCATCTATATCCTCTTCCTTCTCTCTAAAGAACTCCTTTTGACATTCATAGGAAGGTATGGCTACTAACAATAAATTCCCTGTTTTTGTTTGTGTGAGAGAATCTTTGTTTCTTTTCCATTTTTGAAGAATAATTTCACAGGGTACAGGATTCTAGGTTGGTGGTATTTCTTCTTTCAACACTTTATTTCATTCCACTCTCTTCTTACTTGCATGATTTTTGATGAGAAAGTCAGATGAAATTCTTACTTTTGTTCCTCTATAGTTAAGGTGTTTTTCTCCTCTGACTTCTTTCACAATTTTCTCTTTATTTTTGATTTTCTGTGGTATAAAAGTAATATGCTTACGTGTAGTGGGTTTTTTCTTTTTGGCATTTTCCTTGTTTGGTGTTCTCTGAGCTTTCTGGATCTATAGTTTGGTGACTGATATTAATTTGGGGACATTCTCAATCATTATTGATTCAAATAATTTTTCTGTTTCTTTCTGTCTTTCTTCTCCTTCTAGTATTCCCGTTACATATATGTTATGCAGTTTGTAGTTGTCCCACTGTCCTTGCATATTCTGGGTACTTTTCAGTCTTCATTCTCTTTGCTTTCCGTGCTCAAAGATTCTATTGCTCTATCTTCCAGTTCAGAGATTGTTACCTCAGCTGTGTACAGTCTACTAGTAAGCCCATCAAAGCATTCTTTATTTCTTTTCTTTCAGTTATACATTTTATTAAGATGTACCCAGGTGTGTGTTTGTATTTAAATGGTTACCTTACTTAGGGCTTCCAGAGTTCCTTAACTCTAAATTTATATCTTTCAACAAATTTAAAAAGTTTCAGTCATTATATCTTTATTTTTTCTCTCCCATTTGCTAACTCACTCTTTTGGGATTTCAATTGTTAAACTTATTGATATTGTCCCATAGGTCACTAAAAGTATGTTTATTTTGTTTAAAATATTTTCTTTCCTATTTGTTCTTCTGGTTGAACATTTTGTATTGATTATCTGTAAGTTTACAGATTCTTTCTTTTGTCAAGTCCAATATGTTAGTAATCCCATCCAGTGGATTTTTTATTTCAGATATTGTATTACACAGTTCTAAAATTTTCATTTTGTTCTTTTTAATAATTTCTATTTACTTATGATGTTTCCTATTTTTATTTACTATAATTAAATTTTCATATATTTCCTTAATCATAGTTTTAATTGTGACTTCAAAATCTGTCTGCTGACTGTAATATTTGTCATCTCAGTTTGATTGCTATTAACTGTCTTATCTCTTAAATATTCATTTGCTTTTTGCATTCTAATGTCCAGTAAATTTGGGTTGTATTGTGTACATTTTAATGGGCATAGTTGAGATTTTGGTTTTGGTTATTTTTCTTTGGTGAGTATTATTGCTATTATTTTTTAGCAATCTGTTAATTAGGCTGGCCTCAGGTGCAAATTCTGTCTCACCAAATGTGGGAAGTCAATTCCTTTACTTCTAGCTGAGTTTCTTGAGATCTACCTGTGTATATATAATCTACGTACATTACAACACTTGAGTGAAGATTGCATGCATAATTTGAGAACCCTATTTTCAGCTTTCTCCTTTAATTTTACATGTGTTTGGATGAGTAAATCCCTCGATTTTTCAAGCTAGTTTGCCTGTGTTTTCTGTTTCATTTTTAGTCAATTTATGGAACTAATGTGAGTGGTCCTCAAACAAAAAGTTGTAAAAATGGGAAACTCACTCACTGTGTCATTCCTCTGTAAGACTCAGACACAGTTTCTGCCTGATTCTTCTTTTCCTCCAGTTCCTCTGGAAAATTGGTTTTCAGAGGACATTATGATTATGGCAACATGAGAGGATCCTTTTGCCTCTCCTTTAATTACTGTGAATAAAATGTCCATAACCCAACAAAGGCTATACTACAACATACACCAGGATTCCAGAAAGATCCACACATCAGTACATACAAAAGTGTCCGAATTGGAGCACATAGAGGAGGGTAAACAGGGGAACAGCAGAGGCAGAGCCTAGGATCCTAGATCCTGGACGCAGCAGCTCAGTCGGCCAAACCCAGCCCCAGAGAACTCAATGGACAGCAGCAGAGGTGTGCATGTGACTCCAGCCAGTCAGCTTCAGCAGAACCTGCAGTGATGACAAGCAGAGCAGTAGCAGACACAAAGCCCCATGATTCCAGGCCCCCCAACTTCGGCTTAGAGCCTTGTAGCAACAGCAGAGGTGTCCATAGAACGTCGACATCCCAACTGCAGCAGCATCTATCACCACAATGTAACAGGAAACAGCAGAGATGGTGCTCTAATGTACTGATCTACCTCCCCAATCTCTCTCCACCCCCACCACAGTGATGGAACTTCCAAATCAGGTGATCCAAGACATAGCTAGGCATCAGCCATCTCTATGCACTTAGTGGCAAAGCTAGTGATTGCAGCAACAGCAAGGCATCAGTGACTCCCAGAAGCACAAGTGGTGACACCCCAAACAGAGGCAGTGAAGGGTGGAACATGCAGATCTTCAAACATAGCCAGAGGCAGCTCAGGTAAGAGATTCCAAAAACTAATGCTATAGCACCACTACTAAAAAACGAAAGAAAAGCTTCTAATCTCAAAGCAATTGAAAAGTTTAAATTAAAACAAATTTACGCCTAAATTAAAAAAACATGTTTGCTACAGCAAATGCACCTGCAGAGGAGTAACTCAGCAAGCTCCTTGAAAAGCCATGGCATCATGGCATTACAAAAAGAAAACAATTCTCCATAAACAAAACATAAAGTCATGGAAGATTGAGATCTAACTGATAAAGAATTTAAAATAGCTATCAGGAAAAACTCAATGATCTACAAGAAAACTCAGAAAAGTAGTTCAGTGAGATTAGGAATAAAATCAATGAACAGAAGGAAGACTTTATCAGAGACTGAAACTCTAAAACAAGCCAAGTAGAAATTCTGGAGCTGAAGAACTCAATAAATGAGATGAAGAATATATTAGGAAGCATTGGAAATAGAGTAGATAATACAGAAGAGAGAATTAGTGAGTTCAAAGATGGAAACAGAAAAAGGATGCAGATAGAAGAGGAGAGATAAATAAGACTTACAAAAATGTAGAAAGTCTATGAGAATTCCCTGACTCCATTATAAAGGGCAACATAAGGGTAATGGGTATCCCAGAAGGAGAAGACAGCTGGAAGAGAACATAGAGCTTATTCAAAGAAATAATAGCTGAGAACTTCCCAAACCTGAGGAGGTAATTGGATATACAAATTCATGAAGCTAATAGAACATCCAATTATCTCAATGCAAAAAGACCTTCTTTGAGACACATGATAATAAAACTGTAAAAATAAATGACAGAGAAAGAATAGTAAACGTAGCCAGAGAGAAAAAGAAAATAACATACAAGGGGATCTCCATTAAGTTATCAGCAGATTTCTCAGCAGAAATCCTACAGGCCAGGAGAGAGTGGAGGGCCCTATTCAAAATACTAAAAGATAAAAACTGGTGGCCAAGAATACTCTATCCAGCAAAGTTATCTTTCAGATACAAAGGAGAAATAAAGACTATCCCAGACAAACAAAAGCTGAACGAGTTCACTGCCACTAGACCTGCCTTACAAGAAATGGTGAAAGGAGCCCTCCTACCTAAAATAAAAAGGCAAAGGTAAAAAATGCTTTGGGCAAGGTAATAAATAGATAGAATGAGAAAATTTCAAATCTTTATCAGAATAGGATAGTATACACTTAATTATAAAGAGTAAAGGAAAAGAAAGCAATAATAATAACTATAAACACTTCAATTTGGTAATGAACTCACAACACAAAAAGGGATAATTTGTGACAACAAAAACATAGAAGAGGAAGAGAAAAAGGATGCAACCTACATAGGTAAATTAAGATGAGTCTATTAGCAGATAAAGGGCTATCTTATCTGTGAGAGTTTTTAAACAAACTATATGGTAACAACAACAACAAAAATTCAGAATAGAGTCATAAAACATAAAAAAGAGGAAACTAAGAAACACATAACAGAAAGCCACCAAACTGAAATTGCAGACAGGAGCACAAAGAACAAGAAACAATGGAAATATAGAGCAATGAGAAACCAAGAGATAAATGGCAGTATTAAGTACTCAAATATCAATAATTATCCTGAATGTAAATGGATTAAATCTACTGATAAAAAAGCACAAAGTGGATGGATGAATTAAAAAACAAGGCCCAACAATATGCTGCCTCCAAGAGATTCATCTCAGCTTTAAATACAAACATAGGTTCAAAGTGAAGGGACGGAAGAATACTCTAAGAAAACGGCAACCAAAAGAACATGAGTGTAGCCATATTTATATCAGACAAAATAGACTTCAAGTAAAAAAAGATAACAAGAGACAAATATGGACATTATGTAATGATAAAAGGGACAATCCATCAAAAAGACATAACATTTATTACTATATACACACCTAACATAGGAGTACCAATGTATACCAAGCAATTATAACAAACCTAAAGGGAGAAATTGACAGAAACACAATAATAGCAGGAGACTTTACTACCCCATTAGCATCAATGGATAGAACTTCCATACAGAAAGTCAACAAGGAAACATCAGTCTTTAATGAAACATCAGACTAGATGAAATTAATATATATATAACATTCCATCCCAAAGCAAGAGAATATAGATTCTTCTCAAGTGCACACAGAACGCTTTCAAAGACAGACAGTATTCTAGGAAACAGAATAAGTCTCAATAAATTTAAGAAGACTGAAACTACATCAAGCATCTTTTCTGAACACAATGGTATAAAACTAGAAATTAAATACAAGAAGAAACCTGGAAACATCATAAATATGTGCTGACTAAACAACATGCTACTGAAAAACTATTTGATCAGTGAAGAAATCAAAAATTACCTGGAGACAAATGAAAATGAAAACACAACATAAAATCTATGAAATTAGCAAAAATTGTACTAAGAGGAAATTTTATAGCAGAAGAAATAAAAAAGAAATTTAGAGTAAACAATCTAACATTATACCTAAAGGAACTAGGAAAAAAAAGAACAAATGAAGCCCAAAATCAGTAGAAGGAAGGAAATGACACAAATCAGAGTGGAAATAAATGAAATCAAGACTAAGATGACACTAGAAAGGATAAAGAAAACTAAGAACTGATTCTTTGAAAAGATAAAATTGAAAAATGTTTAGCAAAACTTACCAAGAAAAAACAGATATGGCTCAAATAAGTAAAATCAGAAATAAAAGAGAAATTACAAAAAATATCACGGAGACAAAAAGGATTCTAAGAAAATACTATAGGAAGCTATATGCCAACAAATTGGATAACCTAGAAAAAATGGATAAATTCTTGGAGTCATACACCCTTCTAAACTGAATCAAGAGAAACAGAGAATCTGAATACACCAATCATTTAAAATAAGATTTAAATAGTAATCAAAAATCTTCCCTAAAACAAAAGTCCAGATTAGATGACTTCTCTGATGAAGTCTACTAAACATTCAAGGAAGGTCTAATACCTATCCTTCTCAAATTCTCCCAAAAAGGTGAAGATAAGAGGATGCTTTCTAAGTCATTTTATGTGGCCAACATTACCCTGATACCAAAACCAGACAAAGGTGACACCAAAAAAGAAAATTACATGCAAATATCACGGATGAATATAGACCCAAAAATCCTTAACAAAATAGTATCAATATGAATAGAACAATACGTTAAAAGGATCATATACTATGATCAAGTGGGATTTATTCCAGGGATGCAAGGGTGGTTTAACAGTCACAAATCAATTAATGTGACACACCATATTAACAAAATGAAGAATAAAAATTACACTATTATCTCAGTAGATACAGAGAAAGCATTTAAGAATATTCAGGATACATTTATGATGAAAAGTCTCAATAAAATATCTATAGAATGAAAATACTTCAACATAATAAAGGCCATGTATGACAAACACACAGCTAACATCATACTCAATGGTGGAAAACCAAAAGCTATCCCTTTAAGAACAGGAACAAGACAAGGATGACCACTCTTGCCACCCTTAGTCAACACAGTATTGGAAGTCCTAGCCAGAGAAATTAGACAAGATAAAGGAATAAAATATACACAAATTAGAAAGAAAGAAGTAAAAGTATCACCATCTGTAGATGACAATTGTATATATAGAAATCCCTAAAGAATCCACCAAAAACCTATTAGATATAATAAATGAATACAGGAAATTTGCAGGGTACAAAATCAACATACAAACATCATTTGCCTTTTTATACTCAAACAATGAACTAACAAAAAGAAAAAATCAAGGATACAGTTCCATTTATAATCACAACAGCAGCAAATACCTAGGAAAAAACTTAACCAAGGAGATGAAGACCTGCACACTAAAAACTATATGACACTGTTGAAAGAAATTGAAGAAGATACAAAGAAATGGAAAGATATTCCATGCTCATGGATTGGAAGAATTAACATAATTAAAATGTCCATATTACCTAAAGCAATCTACAGATTCAATGCAATCCCTATCAAAATCCCAAGGACAATTTTCGCAGAAATATAACAAAGAATTCGAAAATTTGTATGGAACAACGAAAGACCCACAATTACCAAAGCAATCCTGGGAATAAAGAACACTCCCTGATTTCAAAACATATTACAGAGTTATAGTAATCAAAACAGCATGGTACTGCACAAAAATACATAGATCAATGGAACAGAATTGAGAGCCCAGAAATAAACCCACACGTCTAAGGACACCTAATTTTTAAAATTTCTTTTAATTAAGTTCATAATATTTTACCTCAACATGAGATTTCAGTTGTACATTATTTCAGTCACCACATAAATGTTCCCCTTAACCCCCTGTGCCCATCCCCTACCCCCTTCCTCTGGTAACCATTGAGCTGTTTTCTTTGCCCATGTGTTTGTTCATATTCCACATACGAGTGAAATCATCTGGTGTTTGTCTTTCTCAGTCTGGCTTAGTTTGCTTAGCATAATTCCCTCCAAGTCCTTCCATGTTGTTGCAAAGGGATGAATTTGTCTTTTTTATGTCTGAGTAGTGTTCCGTTGTATATATATACCACATCTTCCTTATCCAATCATCAG